CAGTGACCCGCCCCCACAGTGACCAGCCCCCACACAGTGACCAGCCCCCACAGTGACCAGCCCCCCACAGTGACCAGCCCTGTTCTGCCCCCAGGGTTTCCTGTGCTTCGCCCTGGCATTCTGCGCACAGGTGCAGGTGGTCTTCTGGAGACTCCACAGCCCCACCCAGGTGAGCGACAGCTGCCCTCACCCTGCAGCAGAGGGCTCCCCAGCAAGCCAGTGGGCCCCTGGGGACTGGGGAGCAATTGTGGGGGGGCCGCCCCAGCTTCCATGCTTGTGCTGATGGGTGGGGTGGGGGGACCACAGCCTGGGTTCTCTCTGCCTGAGGCTGCAGGGAGGCCACTGGCTGGAGGTGGGCGAGGCTCAGGACCCCCTGGTGGGAAGAGGCCTATGCTGTGCCCAAGCCTTGCCCCAGTCTCATTTCCTTGAAGCCCCCCAGCCCACCCCCTCCTGGGCTGATGCCCCTGGGGTTTGGGGGAGGGAATGAGGAGGAGGAAGAAGGAAGGGCCCTGGCTTGGCCTTAGGAGCTGACCAGAAGGAGCAGAGTGATCCAGGGCCCAAGCTCCTGATGGAGACCTGGTGGGGCAGACATGCCATGGTGAAGGGGCCTGGAGACCCACAGGCTGGGGTGTCGCAGCCTCCACCCCCTCACCACCCTTCCGTCCTGGATGCTGACCTGCCTGGAGGAGGAGCTGACCTAGCCGACCCTGGGCAGGGGCCAAGGGCATCCCTGTGGAAAAGTCAGCAGCTTGGAGAGGAAGGAGGCATCCCTGGCCTCGCAGAGAAAGAGCTCGGTCGCAGAGCCAGCCCTACCTTCCCCTTGAGAGCCCAGACCCGGTGAGAGCTCCTAGGGCAGCCCGGGTAGCCCCAGGACAGTCACAGGCAGGGTCATCAACAGGGGAGGGAGAGCCTGGCAGGTCACAAGAGGTGATGTCTTGGAGCCCCTGCTGGAGTCCCAGTAGCCTTGTGTATTCCAGTGCCAGGTTGCCCAGGGCCCCCAAACATGGGCTTGGCCATGGGAGCTGCAAGGCTGGTGGCAGGGAGGTCCTCTGGGCGAGCTCTGCAGGTGTCTCTTGTGCAGGTGCCGGGCTCTGCGGGGCATCTGTTGTGCAGGTGCCGGCCTCTGCAGGCATCTGTTGCGCAGGTGGGTTCTGCAGGGCCTCTGCTATGGAGGTGCTGGGCTCTGTGGGGCATCTGTTGTGCAGGTGACGGGTTCTGCGGGGCGTCTGTTGTGCAGGTGCTGGGCTCTGCGGGCCGTCTGTTGTGCAGGTGTCGGGCTCTGCGGGGTGTCTGTTGTGCAGGTGGGTTCTGCAGGGCGTCTGCTGTGGAGGTGCCAGGCTCTGCGGGGCATCTGTTGTGCAGGTGCCAGGCTCTGTGGGCGTCTGTTGTGCAGTTGCCGGCCTCTAAGGGCATCTGTTGTGCAGGTGAGCTCCGGGGGGCGTCTGTTGTGCAGGTGCTGGCCTCTGCAGGCATCTGTTGTGCAGGTGGGCTCCGGGGGGCGTCTGTTGTGCAGGT